CCCCCCCCCAGGGAAGTAAGGAGAGTCTGAGGGCTGTGAGGAGGTTCCCATCTCAGCCACTGCCCAGACTCTTTTGTCTGTGTCCTGAAGACATGGGTTCCCTCTCTAACCCTACTGCAGCCTGCCATATGACTTTGGGGAAATAATACTCCTCCTTGGACCTCAATTTCCCCGGTTGGAAAATAAAGAGCAGGAACTGGCTGGTCCTCAAGGTCTTCTCAGCTCTGACTGACATTCAGGGCTACTGAATAGCTCTGACATTCTGGGCTACTATCCTCATCACACAACATACCCATGTCTCCTCTCCATGGCTGGCCTGGTGCTGACACTCCACCCTGTCCTCTCGGCTCCTGCAGGCGAGCACCCAAGGAGGTCTGCTGATTGGTCAGGCCCCAAAATCTTTGTCTCTATCTTGGACTCCAGCAGCCTTGAAGATGCAACTCACAACTTCTCTTTCCAGGAAGACCCACAGGACCCCTGCCCTGTCCAGCATGTGCGTAGAGTGAGAAGGACCACGGAGCTAGTTGTATATTGTGTTATTGCATGCCTGGCCTTTGTGCTTGATGCCGTGGGAGATACAAGGAGGAAGTGGAGGTGGCGACCGATGAGCAGCCAGAAGGAGGGGGAGGAGAGGAGAAGGACGAGAAGTGGGAGGAGGAGGAGGTGGTGGTGGAGGAGCAGGAGGAGGGGAGGAGGAGGCAGCATCTCAGACTAGTGGGGAAGGGCAGGATTCTCCCAGCCTTGCCATTTCCTATTTGTGAGAATATGGCCATTTCCAAGCCTCCATTTCCCTAGCAGTGTACTGATGGGGACAATATCATAAACCTATAGCATTGACAAGAGGACTAGGCCACGTTGTGCCACAACGTGGCACATTCCTTCAACGAATGGAGGCTGTTAGTCCTCCATTCAGATGGAGGAAACAGATTGATGGGAAAGAAGGTCCTGCTGAAAGGAGGGCCATGGTGGTGAGGGCCACAGAGCCCAGGGGGGAGTCCAGAGGCCCTTAGAGAAAGCTTCCTGGAGATGAGCCAGGCTGGTCCTTCAAGTTCCATGGGGACTGAGGAATATGGAAGTGAGAACCAGTCCCTGGACAGGACAGTAATCACATCTCTTCAGGTGCCTTGCAGATTAAAATGCAGACACCTGTGATTTCCTACACCCGTCACTGTTGCCCCGAGAGTTTTGAAACTGCTGGCAGGAATGAGTGTCTCAAGAAAGATATACAAGAAAGACATAGAAAGGAAACCAGGCCAAACAGGGGAAAGGACTTGCACAAGCCACAACGACTAATGGCCAGCAGGCACTCAGATTCCCACATCCAGATATTGCAAAATCCTGGCCCTGTTTGTCTACTGGCAGTATGTGTCTGCCAGAGGGTTTGATCCCCTGGCCTCTCCTTCCTTGTTTCTAGATGCTCAACTCTGGTCCTCCAGCCGTGTGCCACCCTTGACCCTGTCCTCACTGCGGCCACAGATCCTGGAAAATAGTGGGGTCCAGGACCCTGGCAGGGGCCAAGCTTAGTGCATGGGAAGGGCAGATGGCCTCAGGGTGGGTGGGGCCTTCAGCGGAACCGGGGGCTGAAGGGACAATTGCAGGATGTAGGGAGGCATGGGTTTTCAGTTCCTGTCCTCTCACACCCTTTCCATTGCAGGGTCCTGAGGCTTCTGACCAGGACTCAGTTTCTGCCTCCTCAGAGTGGCAGCGGAAGCTGGAAGCCGCTGAGGCTCTGCTGATGCTGAGAAACTCTTCTCAGACATCTTCTGGCTCCATCTCCCTGCTCCAGCCCTGCGTGGCAGCAGGTAGCCTGGTCCTTGAAAGGAGAGCACAGCACGGGGTGGGGATGGTTGGGAAATGGGACGGCGCTGTGGTAAGTAGGGCCTATCTGGGAGGTCTGGGTTGGTGGGTTGAACCTCCTTGGGCCTGGGGAACCCAAGCTCCTCAGCCTGATGTCGGAGATGGCAGGTGATGGTTGCTCAGTGAATCGTCAGAGCTCTGTGCTCATCAGGAAATGCCCAGTGCATTTGGTGTCAAGAAACAAGGAAACTGAGGCCCAGAGAGTGGCAGGGACTTGCCCTGAGGCATGCAGCATATCAAGTGGCACGCCCAGGTCTCCTCACTCCCATCCCAGAGCTTTCTAGTCTGACCCCTGCAATCTGTTGTGGTGGGCAGGATATACATAGGTGATAAGAGCCTAGGCTGGAGGGAGATCTGGTCTCTGCCTCCAGTCTACATGTGGAGCCTGGATGCCTTCACTAGTTGTGTTTTGTGGCTAAATTTCAATGTTGAGCCTGGAGAGGAAGGATCAGAGGAGCGATAGAATCCTGGGAAGGTTGAGAGGGAAGGCTGGGCACTCCCAGACCAAAATGCTGGATGGGGTGTGGTGTGTGAGTGAAGCAGCAACCTTAGAGGAACTGCTGGAACAGAAAGGGATGAGGCTGGGGAGGCTACTGGTCACCCAGGTCTAGAATGCCAGGCCTAGGGGCTAGACCAGAAACTGTGGGTGGTGAGGAGCCCGGGAATGTCTGAGCTAGAGAGGAGTATATTCAATTATCCCGGGCTTGACAAAAGAAAAAAAAAAAAGATATGTGGTGACTTTGATGGAGAGATTGGAGGAGGCAAGACCCAAGATGAACACATCAGCGAGGAAGAGTTCTGTGCTGTAGTCCAGGTGACAAAGCCTCGATTGGGTGGAACAAAAAAGAGGGGAGAGCCAGGAGGGGAAACGGATGTGATGTGGGTCTGATGCCTTCCTTTCTATCTGCAGCTCCTGCTGGAGATGAAGGACCCCAGCCTTCTAGCTCCTCTCTCCGACCCAGGCCAGCCAGCTCCGTTTCTCTGCCTATTGGACATCTGGGGTTTATCTCCCTCTTGAGCTAGAAACCCAGAAGAGGAGGCCTCACCAGAGTACTTCCTATTCATGCATTTGCAAAATGTTTAAAGTCCAAAATGCTTAACATGTTTGTTTTTTTAACCTCTAGGTTCTTTCATAAGCTTTTCAGACTCTTTTTATGATATGGGACAATTCCTTGGCTGAGAGTGGATATTCTTGTACCACCATCCCTTAATGCCTAGATTCTGGGGCCTTTTTATGTCTCTTATGAAAACAGCGTCATGGGGTCTAAGCTGATCAGTCTCTAAATAGGGTTCTGTGGGAGGTCATATGTTCATATGCCAGAGTTTTCATTTGACTCGTGATTGCAAACATACCCATGCACTCATGCATGTATGCATGCTTGTCAAAATATAAGGGTGTTTTCATTTTGTGTCTAGGTTTGTGTGTGTGAACAAATAATAAATTCTCGTTGTTGTAAGGCACTGCGATATAGGAGTTGTTTGCTACCACAGTATAACGTAGACTCTCCTGACTCTAACAGACTTGTTCAGTTTACTTTTCTAAGTGAGAATCACCTTACTCAATAACTGGGCTTTCTTAGCATGACAAGACAAGAAAATGGTAGCGAAAAAAGGGGGAGATGGTGAGGGGGGTAAGGGTTTTACTCATTTAGCAAGGAAGTGCCTACCTTCTGCCTGGCATAGACTGCTTCCAGCTGTCCAGAGGGCCCCAAATTGGGTTGTCTTCAGGGTCAAGCAGGTCTTGCGAATGAACAGAGCAGGACTGATAGGCTCTGGCCAACTGACAGTGCATGCTCTACCTTAGGGGCCAGCTGCCACCTGGCTCCAGCCAATTGTTGTCATGTAGGGATGTGGACTCTTCATTGCCACATCTCCTGATTTTTCAAGAGAAGATGGAATTCTAGATTTCTATGTCAAATATCTCAATTTTAAAACACTGGCTCTGGTTTCCTGTACGTGGGCCAAAGAAAACATCCATTCAGGCCAACTATGGCCAAGTGAATGCCAGTTCGATTCTAGTCGAATGTGTATTTTACAGTGGGGGGCACTGAAGGCAACCAGGGCCAGAAGAATCAAAGAGGGGACATGAATTAGACCCAGAGCCTACTTTTGAAGGACCCATGAAATATGAGGAAGAATCATTATCATTGATTTTGTGCCCACTGTATGCTAAACACATAGAGCCTCACAGCAGCTCTCTGAGCTAAGCATTATTACCAGTCTTTTACCTATGAGGACACACACTATATGAGTACAAGTAACTTGCACAAGTGTTTTAGGGGAAATTTGTAGCCACAGATGGATAGAGCAAGACTCCACTCTCTTTGCCAGGCCCTAAATTAGCTAATAATTTTATAAATTTTAAAGACTAAATTCTATAAAGTAGCAATTACATTACCTGCATTATATTTAAGACAATCATAACACATACTCATCAATCTCTCATTACTTTTCCTACATCCTGATAGTATATCTATGTACATATACCATTGAGTGAAAGGCTCAAAACTTGAAGCAGCAGACATCCAGTGAGAAGAGTCTTCCAAAAATAGTTCTTTTGTCTCCTATTCAATGTAACAATATGTAGTAGTGGATCAGATCTTATGTGCACTGAGATCAGATCTCGGTCCTCTGCTGATGTTCCAAACAAAGAAGGACCTGGAGACCCCACCCAGAAGACGGAAAGCTCCACTGGATATGCCCAGTCGCTGACTATTTCCCATTGTGTTTTCTCCCTCCTCCCATGCCTCCTTCATTTTTACCCAAGACGATTGATGGTGATGACATCTGATAACAACTTACGCTTTCTTGTTTCAGGCCTTGAGAAGTCAGGCTTCTTATATTCCTTATCTCATGCCAGATAAACATGCAAGGTCACTCAGCACATAGGGCAAGACTGATGTCCATCTCATGCTTTCCTTCCTTCCCTGATTTGCTACTTAAATCAGTGATCCCGAGACCCCTCCTCGCCCAGTATTAGATAAACAAGGCCACACTGTCACAGAGGAAGGAAGCAGTGTTGCCTGGAAAAGGCCCAAAACCCTGCTATGCAGTTGTGTCCTAGGTGCACCACGGTCCCACAGCTGAGTTGGTAAAGGAGAAAGTGTATTTGGGGTTAAAAGTTGTGGCATGAGAAGAAGGAAGAAAAGAGAAATAAGGTGATGGAGATTGGGAGAAGGAGTCAGCCCCCCTTCCCTGTACCCTTTCACTTTTCTGAGTCCCACCTGCCCTTCTACACAGAGCCTCTTAGACCTGATATCCATGCATCCTCCCCCGCACCCCACAAATGCACGCGTGCAAGCACATGCGTGTACGTACACTGCCCTATACCTTTTTTAAAAAGTCTCTTAACGGTGGCATATTATGGGCATCTTAGGACTTTGTCACAAATATCAAATATCCAGCCTTTTTTTTTTTTCATGAACCATCCTTAGTCATGTACTACTCCAGTTCACAGATTTAAAACATCACTTTGTAAGGTAGTGTACGTTAGATCTTGACTCTCATGTGTTTTACAACAGCACCAGTCGGATCTGAGGATATCCACCACGTCTGCAGATCTGCAGCATCTGCAGAGTGCATCAGTTTCAACCAGTGGTATGCATGCAAATGTGTAACAACAGGCTCTCTGGGGAAGGGGGTGGGTTGGGGGAAATGCCCTGTGTTGTAGCATTTGCCAATTTCACGCTACTGACCTCATGTCAATTAACGCAGAGTTGGGAAAGGATGCATTTCCACCATTCTGATGCAATAAATGTACATAACCTCAAGATGTGGGAAAAGTGATTAGAGGCTGATGAGTTTTGAGTATGTATTATGATTGTTTTCAATATAATGCAGGTAATGTAATTGCTACCTTATAGAATTTAGTCTTTAAAACATCTGTGTTCAACAGCTGGCTCGCAAAATTCCCGAACAGTTAAGTTTGCTCTCATGTTCCAGTAAGAGCCCCCTCCAGCATTCCACTACTTTCAACCCTTGCCCAGAAAGGCACCTCTCCCCAAAGCAGGTCACACAAACACTACAGGGCCATAAAGGCCTGATACCTCTGGTTTCTGAGCAAGAACAGCTTAACGGGTAGGACAAGTATTAATTGATAATAAAAAAAAAATGGAATGATCTGGAGCAAATATTGAGCAATTGGTCAAAAGTGTTTGTGGGTGAACTCTGCATTCCCAGAGACAGCCAACATTGGGTAGAAGTGAGAAGTGGGGACACCAGGGTAAGCAAAGCTCATGCAGGGAGTGTATTCAACAGACTCCTTAAAGGCTCAAGGAATGGGGCAACTGGTATTACCTGGCCATCAGATCTGTATCTCTCATCAGAGAGACAGACATTCAATACACTCCCTCCTCCTTAGATAAATGCTGCGTAATCTATACAAACTCCTCCACTTTGCCTTTTCTCATGTAGAAATATGGCCTTCATTGTTACGTATGGGAACTATGTTATACAGCAGATCTCTAAAGCACACTCATCTTGAATAACTGTAATTTTATACCCATTAAACAACAGCTCTCCGTGTCCCCTTTTCCCCCCCTCTCCTGGCAACCACCATTCTATTGTCTGTTTCCATAAGTTCGACTATATTAGACGCTTTGAATAAGAGGTGCAGTCCACGTAAAAATATGTCAAGAGGGTAAATCTCATGTTAAATTTTCTTTTTTTTCATGTTAAATTTTCTTCTCACAAGAAAGCAAAATAAAAAACAAACCAAAACACAGTAATAAAAGGACACAGAAAAACTTCTGGAGGTGATGAATATGTTTATTACATTGATCGTGGAGACGGTTACACAGATGCCCAAACTCATGAGATTGTATACACTAATATGTAGTTTGGGCTTTTTTTTTTTTTTTTTTTTTTTTTTTTTTTTTTTTTTGGTATACAGTTATACCCCAGCAAAGCTGAGACAACAATATCCTTGAGATCACTCCATAGTGCTCCATAGAGGCATCTCCCACTCCTTTCAACAGCTGCAGAGTATGCCATTGTGTGAACAGACCATGATTTAGTCAGCTAATCTTCTATTGATGCACACCTTGGTTGTTGCTATTATGGCTATTACAAATACACCCACAATGAATAGAATTGTGACATAATCTTTAGCAATGTTTCTCAATGTATCTTTGAGGTTGATCCCTAGATGTACTACTATTGCTGAATAAAGGGTGAAAACACACGTAATCTTGCTCATTACTGTCACATTCCCTTTCATAAAGGCTGTGGCATAGCAACCAACAGCCAAAGCAATCCTCAATAAGGAGAGCAAAGCGGGAGATATCATCACACTTCCTTATTTCAAAGTAGATTGCAAAGCTATAGTAATCAAAACAATATGTTGCTGGCCCCAGAACAGGCACATAGACCTATGGGACAGAATGGGGAGCCTGGATGTAAACTCACGCATATGCAGTCAGCTAATATTTGACAAGGGAGTCAAGAATAGTCAAGGAGGAAAGACAGTCTCCTCAATAAATGGTGCTCCTCAATAAAGGAGACAGTCTCCTCAATAAAGTGAGACTTCACATGCAAAAGAATGAAATTGGACCCTTATCTTGCTCCATCTGCAAAAATTAACTCAAAACAGAACAAAAACTTTAGAGTATATATAAGACCTGAAATGGTAAAACTCCTGGAAGAGAACATAAGGAAAAATCTCCTTGACATTGGCCTTGACTATGATTTTATAGATGTGACACCCAAAGCACAAGCAACAAAAGCAACAGTAAACAAGTGTATCTACATCGAACTAAAAAGCGTCTGCTCACAAACATCATTTGAGTGAAAAAAGCCCAGAAAGAAACAATATGTACTCTATAATTCCATTCATAAATTGTTAAAACTGTCAAAGTCAATTTACAGTGATGGAAGTTGGCATAATGGCTCCTCAGGCAAGGGGCTGTACAATGTCCTACTTCTAAATATGTTTGTGGATGCATGGGTGTGTCATTTTGTGAATTCAGGTACACACTTTGATTTGTGTAATTTGTGTAGATAGGTTACGCTTTACTAAGATGTAC